AAGATTAACATTACTCTAAAACGTGTTGGGTGCAAAATGCACGATCACCTCAACATATCGTGGAGCATGATAGTGTATTGCTTGTGCATCCGAAGGTGGCTAAGTCATCTAAAGTTTCTAAAGTCTAAAGTACGGTAGATCATTAGAAATTCGGCCACTTTGGCAAGGATTGCCTCTTATGATATATAAGTGAGGGCGCAATAGAGTCAATAGAGGCCTCAAGAATCATGAAAACTGCTGCTTCAGAAGCTTGCTTGGTTTTCACGGTACGCGTTTGGATACAGCTCACATATGGCAAATGCTCGTGCTCTGAAGCGAGAATCGTGCGCCTTGGTGCCATAAACTCTGGATTTGCACTCAAACGCTGGAAAGGAGCCGCCCTCCAGGTGCGTTCCCCAGTGCTTTGCCGTGCTTTGCTCTCGACCACAATGCACTTGTTCTGGCCAAACGGCTTGGGCTCTAATTGGACTGTAGCACGCCAAAGCTTGCCGAGTTCCATGCTGTTCTTCGGGTTCTGTCGTTCATTGAATATGGGGAATTACGGAAATTGAGGCGGTCGGGGGTATATATATATATATCACCATGTGCCCCCATGTTTGGAAAGGAATCCACGTACCCGTACAAGTAGCATATGTTTTTTTTGAAATTGACACGTTCGACGTTCGTGGAGAACCCCTGTATATCGAAGAGCCTGCCTCTTCTACTTCTCCATCAGCGTCATGCTGTGGAACCTGAGCTGCTGGGGGTTCTGCTCTGCCCTGAATTCGTTGACACTCCATGGTCGAAGTGTGCAGCCCCAACCCGAGCAGAATTTGGCACAAGCAAAGGAGAGGCACTGCATGTCTCCAAACCATTGCTTCCGGGACCTTGTTCCGGACCAACCCGATTAAGTTTAAGACTGTTATTGGGGTTTATTCAGAAATCCTTGAGAGAACCGGTCCAAGGAAGGTGGCAGCGATTCGCATGGTGGTTGCCTTTCGGCCAAACGCTGTTTTAGCATGTTTTAACCATGAATATAGCCGCTCCTGAAAATTGCTGCGGTCACGGACCCTGAAAATCCTCTAGCATACCTACTTCCTCATTCATGAATCATGAAGATACTAATGTTTCTCAGAATCATTCAGGGGACCTACTTCGTCCTTCCATGTTGAAACCTGCTTTGACTCCACGCAACGGGTGATCGCTCTGATCTGCCATTGTCCTTGGGTGGTGAACGCCTGGGAGAAGCAGAGCGCCTGAGTCGTTCCACAACATCACTGCGTTCGGAGATATAAACGGATTTAAATAGCAATGGCTCCAAGCTAATAGCAAAAGAAACCTACTAGCGATGGCCTCCAACCTACTCACCAACCTACTCATTGCATGTGATCTTTAAAGCTAAACAAAAATCAATACAAATAACTCATAATTAATTCATGAGTTTCTGTGATCATTCATGTGATCTCCAGCTCAAAGACCTAAGTGTTCATGACTTGATGAAGAGTTCATTGTTTGCATTGTCACACCCTCTGATTGATTTGGTCTCAAAGGGTGTGACACTGTGATGAATTCTCTCAGCAATTCAGGCCCTGATCATGGAGATCACACTCTGACAGCGCTATTTCTATCGGACTTCCTGCTTGTACTGCAGGACCGGCCTCCTTGAGCGCGAGCGCCGGGAGTCGCGCCGGGAGTCGGAGCGCCGCCGGGAGCGCGACCGGGAGGGGTCGAAGCGGGGCATCGTCCGGTCCGCACGGTCCGCGGACCGTCCGCGCGGTCCGCACGGGTTGACCGCCGAAAGAAGATGGGATGTTCTGTGTTGTTTTTTTTCAAGCTAAACATGAGGTCAATTGTTTGGTGTCCACATGGGACAAAGGCTCTAGACCATTGTTTGGCAGACATGGGAAACAAGGTGTTGAATCTGAAAGTGCAAACAGGCTGCGTTGTTTTGGATGCTTTTGGGCTGCGCCATGTCTCTACATTCTCTGCCACGTTTGGATGTCTGAAAAAGGGTTTCCCCTTGAACCGCGCTGGCCAAAAACACCGAACGCGGACCTAGGCCACGGCCTAACCGCTGTGACGACCGCTGTGACGACCGCTGTGACGCAATGAGGGACTGATTGGTATACACGACACCTGCAGCCTGACTACCAAGAAAAACAAAGTAATTTGTTGACCTATGATTAATAAAGGGATCCGTACGAGTACTGTTAGCTATTCATAAACACCGTACGAATCAAAGGGATCCGAAATAAAGTTTGCAAAGTTCCGCCCTGATTCATCCACCCCCGTTTATGAATCAGAGGTCAACAAACAACAAACTAAACTTATAATATGCAAAGGACAGAAACAAGACAAGAAGCTTTGCCCGCTTCGCCACCTCGACCGCGCTCTGACTCTAGCTGTCCTCTGCCCGCGACTCTGAATGGGGCTCCCCACGCGGCAGGGTTGGCCTGGCATCGCAGGACTGCGAAACTCTCAGAGTCGAGAGTTGGACTTGAATGAGTCGATCGCTCCTGCCTGCGCGGTAATCGCTTGCTTGACCTGCCAAAGATCGGGGAAGAGGGGCAGCGTCGGTCCACATCCAACGGAGTGCGCATGGAGCAAGTCTTCAACAAAGATATGGTCAGGGAGGGCATTTCTACCTCTGTCAGCAAGGATTCACTTCCGGCTCTTGACGAAGCATCCAGACTGCATCATATGCACTAAGACCAAATAGCCTGGTGCCGATTCTATGGGATGATTCCTGTGACGGACTGATCCTGGTGAGTGATGGCCAACGATCAATGGCTTTGGCCGAGAGGCTGATTCTGAAAATTGTTTTCGCATCTCCTCCTGTGCCGTGCCAAGCGCCAATGCGGCCCGGTGCACGACACAGGTCACAGGGTCACACAATGTCACACGTGGCATTCATGGGGAGCTTGACTTTGAAAGAACTTCCCGAGCTAGCTTGCACTTGTTCCGTGCTTCGTTGGTCAGCACAAGCACTATGAGTAGATACGGGCTGCGAACAGTTGTCGTCAAAAACTCCGTCACAGTTCCATCTAAAGAACCCAGGCCAAGCAGGCGCCAATCCCGCTGGACTTGGACAATTCTACACCTTGCGATTACGGTGAAGCAAAAAGAACTACCCCAAAGAACATGTATACATTGATCTCCAGGTGCCTGATGTTAGGTCATTGTTTGCCCCAAACATTCCTGCATATAGCTGGGTCCAAACCTGGAGACCATCGAAACCCATCGGTTGACCTCCCGCCGCTCGGTTTTCCATTCGTTCCTTCTGCATCTCGTCCAAGCTCTCTCGATCTGGGGACGTGCCGGGAGAAAAACCGGCCACAAGGAAGAAGAGGCGCCTGAGGTGAGTACGATAGTTTCATGTTTTGCTATTATTTGGTTATTTATAGTTTTAATGTGATAGTTTATGTATATAATTGTATATATATAAACTTATAACACGACCAC